TTGGTGGTGGTTGTGGATGTCTGGATGGTGTGTTGAGTGGTGTTGCCGTGTTGGTGGGTGATAATGGAGTAAGGGAGAGGAGAGAGAAAAGGAAGGGGAAGAAGAGAAAAGTTTTTTTTTTTTTTTTAAATTTTCAGAATTAAAAAAATCAAAAATTAAAAATTGACCAATTAGGAAGTGCCACGTGGATGGTAACCGGTTGTAAAGGGTAAAGTGACCTGCTAGGGTTGCTGGGAGTAAATAAATAGTAATAGTAAACTTAGAATTATTCAGGATTAATCGAAAGGTTAGATTATTTTAGGAGAACGGGGCAAATGTTAGATTATTCTTGTTAAATTTTCCAATTGTTAGAATCTATCAAGACAAAAGGAAGCACTATTACATTGAAGAGATGATATAAGTTATTGGACATGTCATATAATTAAGTTTTTGGACATCTTGACTTGTTAATTTTAGATATATATTTTTTGACATTTCACATGCATTTTTTAAATTTTCATACAATTATTGGACATTTGTGTTTTGGATATTTATGTAACCTTAAATTTAGTTAAAAAAAAAAAAAAAAAAAAAACTCATGTCAAAATTTAAATGAAAGTAATTATACATCAAGCCAATAAAGCATATTTTATATATATACGACCTTAAAACATTAACTGTTAAACGCACTGGAAAAAGATACACAACAATTTAAGCTTTTTACAGATTAATTTAATATATTAAAACAGACAAGTGGCCACATATCTTTGACTCAATCAAAGTCGAATAGAAAATGTGCAGAAGCGTTCTAAGATCGAGAGAAATATGTTAATCTTATTTAATTCATTAATCATCAATATTAAAGTTTATGTATATTGAGTCTTAATCTTTTATATAGCACAAGTACTATATTAGGTTGTTGTCTTAAATATTCGATTGAATTATTACCAAAAAATACACCAAGACAATATATAAAGCAAAGCTCACTAAGAATAAGATATTCTATACTCATCAAAGTAACTAGTTACCTAACATTAACTCCATTAAGATCGAGAAGCAAAGGTTTATCTTGAATATATTAATCAATTAGTTTATTATACTTTGAAATTAGCATCCAAATCTCACATATAAATCTTATTCCAAATACCAATTTAATTTAATTTAATCCTAATTATGGGTGCTTTAATTATTCTCATTCTCGTGACATATACAAATTATAAAATCATTTCATAGGTATGTAAATAAATCTTGTCTATCGAAGACATAAACTTAACACAAGATTGATCATTGTACAAAATTATTGCCAAAAAAGCCAATTTCTTTCCTTATTTAGCCATTAATAAGCAAGGGAACAAATTACTCCAAACTCTATATATATGTCCATACGATGTAGCATATTTTTTTTTTTTATTGAATTTATAAATACTAGGAATCAAGAATTTCACGTGCCTGTGTTGGTGGCCAACTGGCTAGCCTAACTCATTTAATCATCACTCTACCATTATTTCTAGAGCTGGCAAAAACTGACACGATATGATAATACGACACGAACGAACACAGAGAAAACAGGTTAGTGTCAAGGGTTTTCGACACGCTTAATTAAATGGATCAATACGACACGACACGTTTAATTAAATAGGCTGGGTTAGTGTTGAGATTCTCAACACGAAATTAACACGACCCAACCCGCCTAATATAAAAACCCAATAATTTATGGAATTATTGATAAATACATTGAATAAGACCAATATTTTTCAATCCAACACGACAACACGACACGAACCGAAAACGAAAAAGCGGGTTACTGTTAAGGGTTTTTGACACGATTAATTAATTGGGTCAACACGACACGACACGTTTATTAAATGGGTTGGGTTAGTGTTGACCTTCCCCAACCCGTTTAATTTCCGACACGAAAACGAACACAACATGTGTTAGGGCAGTTAATAGGAGAGTTGGACTTTCTCATTGCTCTATTTATAATCTCGAGTCGATTGGAAGCTAACCTCCTTTTTTCACTTTATCAAAAAAAGTTTCTACTTAGTTTCTTTGTTAAGACCTAGCTAGCTAGCCGCCTAACCCCTCTTATTAGCACCTCAAAATATATACTACGTATTTTTTTAAAGTTCGAAGAATTTGAACTTGTGAGTTGTGAGCCAGTGACCTATCCAATATCATACACAATCCTCAATTATATTACAAATTCAAGATCTCATTAATTCCTCAAAATACATGTATATATGTTAATGTGTACCAATAGGATTAGATATATACCTTTTTTTTTTTTTTTTTTTTTTACAAGGGATTAGATATATACTTCGTACTGTCAACTGTGTTAGTTTGTTTGACCAATTGGCAAATATGAGAATAAGTGAGTTTTATTATGCCCAAAATGTCTGCCCACTGTCTTTTTTATAAATGGGAAAATTGGCAAAAATAATAATACATCTCGATAATAAAATATATGGTGTACGGAGTAAATATTTCTGAAGGGAACATAAAGATCTGATATCAGCTTTTCTGAGTTGGCTATTCATGGGCGTGAATATAAACGTTGGTGGTCCAAGAAATTAATTGAATTTAACACTTAAACAGTACTGTACTTTACTATTTTTAGGATTTATTTTGTTTCACCAAAGTCATTAAAATTAGGAAAATTTGTACTACTTGCCGATAACTATCTTAGGAATCTGCCAAAATTGTATTACCACTACTAAAAGTAGTAAAATGCTCTAGTTGCCTTTTTGGGATGAAATTAAACAATGAACTCTCACATTAAGAATAATTTTTTTTTTTTTCCTTTCTATCGGTTACCCCCATCCTCGATCCTCCCTCCTCACTGACTACCATTATGTCTTTTTATTATTCGCTAACTACAATTTCATTGGCTGAAAGAAAAAGACAATAATCGGTATACATATATCCCGAGAGAGAGAAAAGGAGAGTAACCGTCAGACTTTTAAAGAGAGAAAATTTGTTAGAAATGGTGAAAAAACCAAAAGAGTAAATGATAACAGTAATATTGTTGGTAAAAGAAAATATCCATTTAGTTATATTTGTTGACAAAAGTAATGATTTTAGAGGCTATAAACTTATAATTATAGGTATAACAGTGTTGTTACCATAAAAGGTGCTTAATGTTGTTAAAGTGATTGATAGCCATAAATCATAATAGTGTGATGATCATTGATAGAGCCATAAATCCAATTAATGAGATTTTAGAAATGAAGTTGGAAAGAATCAACAAAAAATGACAAAGAGGAGGAGGGGGGGAGGGGGGGGGTGCGGGGGAGCATATATGAGGTACCAAACCCTCAAAAGCAATTTTCAGAGGTCATGTTTTTCGATGCAATTTTCTAAAAATCATGTATAATTTTTTTTTTTTTTGTAAGCTGATACAAATATACATATTATGATTTTATTTATTTATTTATTATTATTTTTTTTTCTAATGACGGTTATAAAAAAAATAAAAAATAAAAAAAGGTTCAAGAAAAATTGCAGTGATGCCAAACACCACCTAACTTATCATCACATTGATCCTTTTTAGCTTGTGTACAACATAATGGTGCCATCTTGAGTAAGCAATCAATTTAACGTATTTTTAATGGTTGAATTTCCTACTTTCTTATTGATTTTTGGTTACAAGTTCGAAATTTTTAAGCTCAAGTGGAACAATTTGAGTTGAGTTCAATTTGTATTACTTTCCGAGAAGTATCCAACTCATAATCAAATGAAGATCAAAGATTAAAGCAGCCAAGGGCACCCTCCTGCTAATCTGCTATGCCCTCCCTCCGACCCCAACTTAGCCACAATGGTTGTAATGCTAAGCCTGCTACCTTCGAAGTCAAGCCACCATGTGCCGCTCTCCTGCTATTTCCCTTGACCGCGATAGGGAGTTTCGAACAAAGGGAGTTTGACATTCTCAAAGGCTTCTTAACAATCCTACTTGATAAGGTGGGAGCTTTATAAGAATTCCTCTTCTAAGAATTAATCTGAGTCACTCTCAAAACAAGGTCCTCGAAACGTCTAGGCATCTCTCTTACAGCCTCGATGGCACTCTCAAGTCTCACCATCCCTGTAGACAAAGATACACAACATAGCAAGACTTGATAGCTCACACCAAAGTTGTCCTACCTCAACCTCCGTCAATCAATGCCAAATTCCTTGCCGTCTACCTACCTGAAATGAACCTTCTGCTTAACAATCTCAAATATAAGTATACCTGCAATTGGAAGGAAGCACACCGTCCTCCGTCTCTTGATCATCTTTTGTGGCACCTCAAATGCCTTGCAATGTCCCCTTCTTTCTCAAAAAGGACAGATTCATAGCCCTTACAACAGAGAAGTAGTCTACCTCAACACCGCCTTCTTCCATCTCACGGTACTCTGAAACTACACTTTGAAGCCCACTGGTCTTCACATCAACCCCTAACCTTGCCACAATTATCTCACAATGAACCCCGATAGCATCCTCATCAGCAATCTTATGTAAACGAGAGGCTACATTTGGGTTAAAATTCCGCTGCTTCAAGCAGCAAGTTCTATTACATTAGACAACAGCTCATCATCTGCTTCCCGTATCTTCTTCAATCGGCTTTGCTTCTTCAATTTTGTCGGGGTCTTCGTGGTTGTCCTTGATCGTAATTTATTTATTCTTATTCAATTTGTTTGAGAAACAATTTAGGAATAGGAAGCTAATTTTTAAACATTGCAGAATACGATGAGATTTTTCTTCTGTTATTTTACTGGCCATTATTTTAACTTTACTGGGCCAATAAACCAAACTTTTCAACCAAGTAATGATCAAGGTGATGGTAATTTTGAGAATTATAAGGGTAATACACTAATACGTAGTAAAATAAAGGGGTCCTAATCCGGCCTATATATGGTCCATTTGATGTACTTAGATGTACTTCTATTAAACTAAAAATTGATAGTTTTGCATATCCCATTGACCCCTAAATCCATCACACAAAGAAGAGTAGAGAGAAGTAGACAAACAATGAAACACGCTAGTGAGACACTAGATCAACGATGCCATAGAAAAATCCGTAACAAAATGACTGCACATTACATTCACCTAGTAGCCTTTAAAACAACATTACATAGACACCAGCACTAGAAAATTTACAACAGCCACCAATACAAAATTGTGTGATTCGACATTTCTTGCCAAAAACCATGACCTAATCTTGCTTTACAACTCTTCAGGAGAGCATTGTATCAATTGCTAGTGAGGGCATCCCTGGTCTTCAGAAGGGCATTAAGCCATAACCAATAGAGCAACAACACCCTGCCTTACTTCATATTAACATAAACCTATACCTTCACAACACTGGACATGCACCAATAGCTACACAAACAACATGCACCAATAGCTACACTAACAATATGCACCAAATTTACTGTACCGATAGTCTTGTCCGCCAGAACACTTGAGCGATGAACAGGAACAGAGCCCTCTTTCAAACACTCTTAAACTTATTAAAGACAATGAGAAGCAACAACTGACAAGGTTTTAGCACACAAACAGTCATTTACTCCTTGTATTAAAAGGCATCCTAAAATACGAGTACAAATTGTGAGATTTTACTGATGTAAGTAAGTTTCCCACAACACTTCAAACCCTAGCTCTAGTCATGCAGATACCAACGCCCACACATTAAAACAAAACAATAATAATAGTTGTGAGGTAAGTCAACATTTACACTAGTCAACTGTGTACCAGCAGTTCAACAAGCCCCATAGCTAACATAAAACTAACATAGAATTCCTCCATACTTGGTTTCAGGAGTGATGTTCTGATCAAACAACTTCAGTGATGCTATTTCATTGTCAAAAATAAATAAAAGTATCAACCCCAGCAGGAAGAGTAACAAGAAAAGGGGGAAAGGTACCCTAGCAGATGCACTACACATTCCTCACTGGATAAAAGAATACAGAAATTAGACACTGTATAGAAATAATACATCCATACAAGATTACAAGGTTCCCTGGTTAATAATAAATCATGGTTGATTTGGTCTTCGGAAAACAGTTTCTATTTCCAGAAGTCCAATATATATATGGTGTAGCACAGAGTGTAGAATAACAAAGCAGAGCACAAAAAAGACAGTAAATCTGCAGCAGCACAAATGGCATGGTTTTACCCTAGCCAGGGCGATAACTAGTTCTGCAGTTACTGTTAGCCCACAAGTGTTGGCCAAACCCAGTCATATTTACACATAAGAGTTCAACAACCCGGACATCTTTGATCATTTTGTGGAAAGAAAAAATGAATGAAATGAAATATGGAAGAAGCACAAAATGCAGATGCACTTTGGGCAAAGCTTAACACAAGAGCCCAAAAAAGTATTAGATAGACCAGGAAAAGGCGTTTTATCAAATTATCCAAACCTATAATCAACTTTAGCTAGAGGATACACAAAGAAAGGTTCTCCACAAAACCTCTATTAAGAGCTTAAACTGTGGGCTGAGAGGAAGGGGGGGGGGGGGGTTAATAATATTGCACAGAAAGCAAGCCAGACATAGAGTTACAGAAATACGTAAGACAAGTCATCAATGACAGATAGCTTCACTCTAAGGCTTCTTCAAATCAGAGCCATCACTAAAACTTCCCAGAAAAATATCAGAAAATTGACAGCTTAAACTTATTAGCACTAAACATGAAAGACTATAGATACCTACAGACTTACCCTATGGAATGCACATGCACTCCTAATTTGAAAGATCCAGTGCATGGCTTATTTCTTGATGGGCAAATACTTTGCAGAAGACGTTCATAATAAACTAACAATTAACAACTTCTATGACTGATAAAGTCCTTGTTGGTTTAATATGAATTGGTTACTCTCAAGAATTCACAACAGCACATCCCCTCCCTGACTCCCTTGCCATTGAAAAAAGTAAATTCAGTAAGATTTTTTTTAAAAAAATTACATTAAAAAACTTTATTTCACAACATCTAAAGCACTGAACCTCAGAAATTCAACTTCTACACCTTTTCGACATATAATGGCTAAGAGTAGCCCTCCTGCATCAACAACTATCTGCACTTGAATTAAGACATGACAATGTCCTGTAATACACAGACTACATCACATGAAAAGAAGTGAAAAACAAGCAGAAATCAAAAAATGCAAATTAAAAAAAAATTAAAGTAGATTAAAAAGAGAATTGATTCAAAAGTAGAAAATATAGTAAAACAGGACAATAGAGATTCAACATCAGCCTCAGTAAAACATCCATAATAATTTTCAAAGTTGCATAAACTTTGTAAAAAAGAAAAAGTACTCAATGTCATCCCTGGAGCTTTTAAGACAAAATATACCTTAAAATATTACAGTGTTTAAAAAGGAACACAGGTAAAAAGAAAGAGAAGAAATGAAAACCAGCAACACTATTTGTTCGTTCAAAGACAACAGCCTTTCTAGAAGAGAAACAGAAAGTTGATAAGAAATCTTATAAAGATCTTGTTTGCCTCTTCAAACTTGGGAAGAATCACCACGCGAGTATTAAAAGACTGATGCACCTAATAGAGATCTGCACAATGAATAAGTAAAACATAAAAACAACTTCCGGAAAATTCAAAATTTTGTGGAGTAGAATCGTCAACAGTCCAGGTCCATTGCTTAAAATCGCCTCTAAATTCACGTACAAACATCAGTTATTTACATTAAAACCAAATTTTAGAAGACAGTTACCTGAAAAAGGCATTTACTTGAACAAGAAATTTTGTTAGGGGGGCAGTCGTTTGAAATTTTAACAAATACTAAAATATGGAAATTTTTTATTTGACATATCAAGCTCAACTAGTATGGTTATTAGAAAAAAAAATTTAGATCAATGAAAGTACAAAGAACTATATCAGGCACTGCAAATATTCATAGCCCTTGAAGTGACGACTTCAGATGTGCTTCACAAAGCATTTAATTTAACAGCTTAAAACAATCACAAAATAGAACCCCAAGGCAAATTATACATAATAACTCACATGAATGTTCAAAGACACCAAATCAGGTCTCCGCATAACAGCTGCCAAACCCCAAACACAGGTATATGCAATCAGAATCAAACAATCTCTTGCCTCAGACCAATAAGATGGTATGATTACAGCCCAAATATCAAGTTTATATATTATAAAAAGAATTGTGATGTTGGAGCTGTTTGCTGAATTTGCTATTACCCAACTACTTCAAACTAAAGAATACAGTACACAGATATGCCATAACACCTTCAAACAGAAGCAAACAACAACAATGATTGTTCAAAAAGATGTAGACAAACAATGCTGCATAAGGGTACACAAACTACACTCCATAAAGTTTGAGGAACAGAGGTATGCCTAACAAGGGCTAACTCAATGTTAATTATGATCACAGCAAAATATAATGCAAAAACTTGAGAGTAAATTGAAATGTATCACTGAGTTAAAATTCACAAGCAATTGGCTACCTAGAGTGCTAAAACTATTCAAAACAAATCTCGACATCACGTAATTGAATGCAAAACCCAAGAATAATTCAAGACTTCAAGATCTCATAGAAACTAGAAGTTTAAAGTTTAAAGGAGATGGTATACCTGTGACTATTCAAGAGTAACTCAATGACCGCCATACGGTGCAACACCACCCATATGGCCATGCTGCGACCTCCCACCAGCCCCTCCTTGCCCCAGCTGCTGATTTGGATACGCGCTCTGCAATCCACCTTGGTTCCCATAACCACCCAAAACACTCGGATTTACTCCAACATTCTGCGCTCCATACCCACCATGAACCGCACCAGGAGCACCCCCCATCCCACCACCAAGTGTCCCAAGCAAGTTATTCAACCCTAACCCCGCCCCCTGCGAAGCCAAAAGAGCTGTCAAAGCCTGTCCTAATGCCGGATTCAACCCCGGCGCAGCAGCAGCTGGCCCCTGGTTATACCCAACACCACCAACCGATTGTCCCATCAACCCAGCCCCAGTAGCTGGAGGTCCACCAATCGCCCCTGCCAAATTCGGGTTATCCACCCTTCCTCCAAAATGCTTCCCTCTTGGCTGATGATGTCCCATCTGCTGCTTCCCCGGCTTCGGCCCATCAATCGCCTGCTGACAATGCAATACATGCCCCTCAAAATGCTTGTGAGGCTCCTCCAAAGCCTTCTTAGCACTCTCAACACTCCTATACACGAACAAACAAAACCCTTTCGGCTTCCCCGTCTGTTTATCTAACCCCAAAGGCCCTTCCTCAATCTCCCCAAACTTCCCAAAATACGCAGTCAGCTTCTGCGGATCAATATCAGCAGACACATTACTCACATAAATCTTCCTCTGTGTATACTCCGACATCGGCTGCTGCGGCTGCACCACTGCAGCAGCCGTAGTCGTAGGCACCGGCCCCACCGCCGCCAGCTGACACGCCGTCATCCTCCCCCCAATCCTCTTCTGCGGCATCTCAAGCGCCTTCCGTGCCCCGCTCCTCGACTTAAACAATATAAACCCGTACCCTTTCGACTTCCCGGAGATCTTATCGGTAACCGCCTTACAATCCTCGATATCGCCGTACTGCGAAAACGCACTCCTCAGCGTATCTGCCGTCGTATCCCACCCCAATCCATGAACAAATATCTTCCGATGAACGGTATCTTCATCTGCAACCTTACGAATACGAGACGCTACATCGGGGTGAGCTTCCGCAGCTTCCCGGAGTATCATCATCAACTGTTCCTTCGTAAAAGGTTCTAGAAGCATCGGAATCGGCTCATCATCAGCTGATCCTGTCGTATCACCTTGAATCGCCTTCGATAGTTCATCTTCCTCTTCTTCTTCTCCCTCTTCTTCTTCCTCCTCCTCTTCTTCTTCTTCTTCTTCCACCTCCTCTTCCTCGAATTCCGCTTCTTCTACTTCTTCTTCTTCCTCCTCTTCCTCTTCAACAGGCTTCGATTGTTCCTCTACTTGCTGCGGTTGTTCTTCTACCTTGGGTGTTTCTTCTTTCGCTGGTTCTTCTTCTTCGATTTGCTCCTTCTTCTGCTGCTTCTTCTGCGGCGCAGAAGTTGCAGCTTCGGCTGATTTAGCTGTGAGCTTTCGCTTTTTCGCCATTGATGATGGATAGAATTAGGGTTTAGAGTGGGTGGAGGAGAGAGATTGGGGATTTAATTAGGGTTTTCAAACGAGATGACAGAAGCAAAGGATCCCCTTTTTGTAGGTAAAGGAGTCAGATTTCAGATTAATAAATCTGCGATGTCTGGATTATTTGGGGAGACCATGTTGGGCTTTTCTATTGTTTGTTTTGTACTTACTGGGCTTTGTTCTTGAAATCAGATCGGTCAGTTTTAAATCAGGTCGGGTCAAATTGGTCCAGACTTCGGAGTATTATGCAATTATGTGGGGGTTAATATATCTATTCGTACGGAAATCGACCAAGTCTTTTTTTGTTGTCAAAAAGACTTTAGTCGGTTTCGTATTAGGTCTAATCAGTTTGATTCATAACCAATAATGACTATTCAAGGTTAGTATATCCATATGAATTGAATTCATAATTTGTTTTTGGGGATTTGTTCTCATTGTAAAATCTAGACTATGATTAGTTTCGAATCAAGCCTAATCAGTTTGAGTCACAAATAGTGTTTTGTGCGTGATTAGTGTATCCATCTGAGTTGAATGCATTTGTTTTTCTCTGGGTAATTTCAACTACAGAGTATTATCAAATTGCGGTCAAATCAGGTCGCTTTTTAACCCATGCTAGTCTTGTTCAATGACTCAACCGAATATTTTCATGTTATTGAAGTGGTTTGGAAAATTATTGAAGTTGTTATGAGATTTATTAGCTTGATAGGATTTGGGAGATTTTGTTGAAGTCATAATATCAACGTAAAGTTTATCATAATACTCTTGAATTATTAGAAATTGAGTTCACTTACATAAATGCTAAAATGTTAGGACGACTAACTGGACTACTAGAGAATTAAAAATGAGATGTGAGGGAAAGTGTTTGATAGTTTTTTTTGGAAAGAAGATGAGAGGGAAATTTATTGTGTGATGTAATGGTTAGGAAATTGGTTCGCCTTTGATATTACATTTACAAACACAATAATTGTTCTATAAATGTTTAAAGCAATTATATTGTCACAGACTATTGGATGCGTCCACCCACACGGCCACACCTAACAGTTCGTGCGGACGGTGCGGCATACATACTCATTCCTCCTTTCTCCATATTCTTCTCTTTGAAAATTAGAAAAGTTGGGTGCCCTTTCTCTCTCCTCTTTCAAACCTCCAATTCTAGGGTTTCAATTTTAGATGTAAAGCAATGATTTGAGATTTGGAGGTCGTAATTGCAGGGATGAGTGTTCGCAATTTCAGGTGAGAGTTCGCAATCGCAAGGATGGAGTTCATAGGGGAGGTGCAGGTTGCGGCTCTTAACGTCAAAGGCGATGGTAGGCAGCGAGTTAATCGAAGGCTGAAGGCGCGAAAACCAGCACAACTACAAAGAGTGCAAGTGTTGTGGTTGGTCGAGGCTGCAGCAGGAAGGAGGGAGAGTGTGGTTGGTTGTGGTGGTGGTGGTGGGTGGGGGCTGCGGCAGGAAGAAGAGTGGTGATGCCGTGGTGGTTATGTTGTGGTGATAGGATTAGAAGAGAGAGAAAGAAATCTTGGGTCTTCTCTGATATGGTGAATATGTTAATAGGAGATTGAAAGAAAGAGAGGAAGAGTGGGAAAGAGGAGAGAGAATGAAATAAAAATATTTTGTACTTGCATTATATATTTTGTTCATCAGCTAATACAAGTAATATATCAGCCAGTTGATATTTCATATCAGTCAACATTAAAGACATAAATAAAAATGTATCAGCCAACAACAGGAATATATCAGACAACAAAAGATATATATCAGCCAACAAGAGGAATATATCAACTAACAAAAAAAATTCATATCAGCCAACAGAAGGAACATATTAGCCAACAAATGAAGTATATCAACCAACAAAAGGATGAAATCAGTAAACAAAAGCAACAGGTAACCTAACAAAATAAACATATCAGCCAACGAAAAGAAACATATAAGCCAACAATTAAAATATACATATCAGCCAACAAAATAAATATATCAGTCAATTAAAGAAACATATAAGCCAAATGATACCTAATATCAGCCAACAAAAGAAAAAAAAAAACATATCAGCTAGCAAAAGAAATATATTAGCCAACACAAAAACCATATCAGCCAACAAATGAAACATATTAGCCAACACATGAAACATATCAGCCAACGAGTAAAATATATCAGCCAAGCCTCTTGCACCAAACAGTTCGTGCGTCCATCCGCACGCAATACCTTCTCTTATATTGTAGCAATATTCAACCCTTAATCTATCAATTTTTCAAAACCATAAAATGATAACAAATGTGTGGTTATGTGAGTTAATTGATTGCGAATCATACGATATAAGAAATATGATTTTCTTTTGATGATGTTTATATGTGTAGTATTATTTTGTTATTTGCAATACTTCAATTAATAATAAACGGATCATAACATATAAAAAATTCCTTGTTAAAATGACTTAATATTCATTTTTTAATTTCTCTCACAATGATTTATAAACATTATATGGAGCAATATAATACTCCATATACAATACGGAAAAGTAAAAACAATCCGGTTACGCCCGAGCCTAAAACCTAATATTCGTCTTATAAAATTTGAAAAATCTTAGACATGGCCAAAAGATAGCGTGGAATCTCTTCGGAGAAGACTAGAAGAGTGGGCTTGTACAAGTAGATGGTTGGCAAAGATGGTGCAATGAGCGAGGCCGTTATAAAATCAAAACCCCACAAAACAAGTCGCATTCAAGTGTTAGCCTCACACCTTCTTCCTTCTTCTTCTTCTTCTTCTTCTTCTTCAATGGCTTCCGAGAAGGAAGCTGCTCTCGCTGCTGCTTCTACTCCCCTCGATTCTCCCACCATGTAACTTCCTCCCCTTTACTTCTCACTCTTGTAAATTTTCAATTCATTTTCTCATTTTTTAATCAAGTTTTATTGTGTTTAGATTAATGCAGAATACTCTAATTTTGCCCTATTGTTTGGTGGATTTATGAATTGATTTGGGGTGATTTGTAAGATTGGTTAAGTTTGTTAGGATTAGGGTTTTGCTGTGTGAATTGAGGTTTTTGAGTTTTGATTGTTATTGCTTTTGATCACTGTGTAAAACTCGTGCTAATATATTAAGAACTAGTAATAACAAGAATTGGAAATAACTCTAGCTGATTGTTATAAGAATTTTGTCATTTTAATCAATTATGAATGTTAATTTAACATCTTTTATGGATTATTTGAAAGAAATGAATGCAATTGTTTATAATTAGCATTGTAGCCTTACAAATATGAATATTAACATGATTTCATATATGCATTTTTTTCATCTTTGTATTGGTTGAGTTTAAAAGCTATGATATTTGTTTGATGATGTAGATTTGACAAGATTATCAGCAAGGAAATTCCTGCTAATATTGTGTTTGAGGACGAACAGGTACTGATATTACGAATCGAGAAGTGTTTGTAATGAATCATTGAATGTGGCCATGGGATTTATATTGTTCATTGTTTATACTTGTGTTTATTAGCATTGTTTGTTGGAGTTTTGACCTTCTTCTTGCTGTTTTTCTTAAATGCCCATGCTTTTAAACTATAACCCATGATTTGCAAAGTTCCTGTCCAACTTAAGATGTCTTTTAGGCCCCTTCATTGGAGTGCCATTTACTGCCATCATCATATTGTTATTTGATTTAATTATGTGGATCCATTTTCCAAATTGCTTTGCCTTTCCCTCATCATTTTCTACTATGCATTTATGTCCCAATTAAATCCTTATGCTTTGTCAAAGTTGGTTCTTTGAGTCCCACATGGGTAAATGGCGTATTTCATTGCGATTAATAACATTCATTTTGTTCGAGCTTAGTTAAGATCTCATTTTCATCAGTGTGATCTTTTATTCTTCCATTTTGTATCTTTAGGTTTGGCTGTAAAGATGTGCTAGGCAGTGTGATAGTATTTATAATTGTTTGTAACTTTCAATTTGCTTTCATGTAGGTTATTGCTTTTAGGGACATAAACCCACAGGCTCCAGTTCACATTGTTATCATTCCTAAGGTTAAGGATGGCTTAAGTGGACTCTCCAAGGTACTTATTACTTCCTCATTCCACATTGTACTGCTTTTCAATGTATCTACCTTATCTGTGTGTTAGATGCTTGCTTTGTCCTGATGGAGCGAATATATCTTTTAGGTTTATATATATTACCATTGTGTCTTGTGGTTGTAATGTATCAATGCTTTCTTTTCCAACACCTCTATAGAGTTCTTGGTTTTACTATGGCCATGTGATATGATGTTACCTTGTTTATTGTAATTAAAGGTTGGTAGTATAATCACTATGTGCATAGTCAATTAGTAATGCTGTATCTATGTCTCTGTCACATTCCTCTTTGGTCACGGTGCTCTTTTGAAATCTGCTAGGTAATCCACCAGGCAAAACACGGTTAATATCTTCTAGTAGGCTTAATGGAAGTGACTTACTTTAGGTTTCATGTTGTAGAACTTGTTATCAGACATTAATTAGAATTTTTTGTAGTTGTCCAAATCTGCTTTCTTTGGAGTTTGCCAGGAACAGCTAGATACTTGGCCAAAAACATAGTTAAATTTGGCTTCTATGCTCTGTATCACTTTGAACTTTTGAGTTAGCTGAGTTGCCCAGGGCTCAACACATTTCGAATGTACATTAGTGACATGTGATTTTAATATTTCATTGAGTCCTAGCCTAAACCTCTTTACTTGACTGGATTGTTTTTTGTAGGAGACATTTGAGAAAGAGAATGTTATTATTAAGAGATACTGAGATATGCATATAGTAGTCTCTCCAAATATTGGAGATTTTTTCTCAGTGTAAAAAAATTCCAATTTGGTTCCAATTATATAATGTTCTCTTGCTAAGATACATATGAGTATTCAAGAGGAAGGCAGTATTAAGAAATGAAGGCTGTTGGGGAATTATGGAGTTCCAGAGTGCCACATATCTTGTGGAACCTTCCTTATGTGTGAACAGTTGAACTTAAGATGGGGAATTAATTATCCTGCTAATCCATGTTGCTCAATATTTCACAACTATCGAAATATATCTGTATGGGTGTTACGGCCATATGCTTTTAATACAAGCGTAATGGTTTGCTTATGAAACCATTGAAACATGGTCCAGCAGATGTTATGATTTGGACATTATTGCATTGATAAGTAGAAGTTTGTAGAAGAATGTTAGTTCTTGATCCCATCTCAGATTAGCTAATTTGAAAATTAGTTCTTGGTCCCACTCCACATTATTTCTCAAGAATATTAAATGATTGTTGGAGAAGCTTGGGTTGTTTGTCTCAGATTAGCTAATAAGAATAAAGATGGAGTGATAACACAGTTAATATTTGATTTTTCCTGCAATATTCACAGGCTGTCCTGATAATTTATTTCTGTGTATAGGCTGAGGAAAGGCACTGCGAGATTATTGGCCGCCTTCTTTACACAGCAAAGCTTGTAGCAAAGCAGGAAGGCCTTGATGATGGCTTCAGGATAGTGATTAATGATGGTCCAAAAGGATGTAAGTTAAGCTAATCACATAAACTCTACATTTCAACTTAATTTCAGTGCTCTAACAAGCTCTAATGCTTTGTTCATCAGGCCAATCTGTTTATCACATCCACGTGCACCTTCTTGGAGGACGTCAAATGAACTGGCCCCCTGGCTAAGACAGATTTGTAATATCACTAGAGGCAGGAAACTCGTTATCTGGCTGTCCTTTTTCTACAAAGTAACATGTCAATGTAAACCAAAATAATGCTGTTTGGGTTTTTGACTTTTCATTTTCTTGTGCTCTATGTACTTGTGTAATATTTTCAAAATAATGATTGTAAACATGAACTAGGCTTTGTGACAATTACTCACAATTACTCTATATGATCATGAGCATGGACAGGGAGCCTCTTTTCTACCCTCTTGTTATAAATTCTATGATCAAACTGTCAAGTCTTTGATGTAGATTGTAGGCAATGCGGAATTGTGGACATTGCTTAACCCGCCTTTCTTCTCCCCTAGTCCCCTACTCACCTCCACTTGCTTGGATGAAGGATTAATACCAAATCTAGGCCATGAGGTACTTGTGGGATGCTACTCCCCCACAGTCCTACCTTTGGCATTGAAAAGTCAGTAAGTGCATGGATTGGATAATTTAAGTTAATTTTCAACGGATAACCTATTACATTACATGTGAAAATTCGTCAATATAAAAAATTTATAATTTTAATTATACACTTCACTTGTTTTGTAAAAATTCACATTAATTCTATATTGTGAATAAGAACTCAAAATAAAATTGATTTTGCGACAATATTTTATCAATATCTATAAAAACATTAATCAATGTAAAATCTTATTGAATGTGTTTCAAAATATCGAGTATCAATGTATGAGTACTCTATAGTATTTTTAGTACTATATTAATTTAAGTTATATTAATGGTTAATGTTGTGCCTAACGCCTATTCTGTTCACTTAATATGTGAAATACTATAAACTGAGTTAAAGTTAGAAAATTCACATGTTTGAGCTAAATGGTCTTGGTGCGTATGAACCAGTGACACCCCTTCAATCTCCACGGTCTACTGTTTTCTATCATTGGCCTCTCTCAACTCATCGTCTGTTCTTCACCGAACGTTTTTCAGGTACACCATTATTCCTGTCAAAACTAACGCTATTAGTTTCTTAACTTCGTTTTTGCTTACTATAATCTCATACTGAAATTGCTGTAAAATCAATTCATGATTCTGTCAATTCAGGAAAAAAAACATGTTCAATTTAGCTCAGTTTAATGAAATAATGTAATCACGAATTGGATATTTTTTTATTTTCGCAAAAATTCAATTTTTCACATTTTTATGTCATGAAATTAATTGGGTTGTTGATTATTCAGAAAACAATGTCAGCAATTCTATCTCCAATGCGATTATGTCGAAATCCCATTAGAACCCGGTTATTCTCCAGTCATTTTGGGGCCAAATTGAACCGGGTTGTACCGAGTTTGACTCGGTTAGTGAGTGGTCAAGGTCCGAGTCTAACTCGGATAGCTTCACAATCAACTTCATCATCAAACCCTTCAGTTAGTTCAGAAAAGGAGGCTGCTTTGGCTGCTGCTTCCACTCCCACTGATTCTCCTACTATGTAAGAGCTCTCTATTTTTCTGTCTTTCCTTGAGTTGGTGATAATCTGTGCTTGAAAATAAATAAATGAGGTGTTGATATCAGTGAATTGGAGCTGCAAAAGGAATTGGAGCTGCAAATAAATAATTTCCTGTAGTCAGGATTTGATCCTAGGTCTTGGTTTCGATTCTCCCGAAACTTTAATTAACTAAGTTAGTTCACACTCACAATAGATATATGGGGTTGTATTGGCACAAGCTTGGAGATGTGACTATGAGTTGACATTAATGATGGACAAGCATAAAATCAGTAAGGTCTTTTGTGGTTTATGGGACATATAAAAGGCAATTATGTGCTCGAATTTAAGTAGTTATGATATATTGATATGCGAATATAGCTTGGGAACCGACAGGTTCCTTGGTGATGATTAACATGCATGTTTGATGACCAATGTCAGTTGCTGGTTTATTGAATACATACCAATTTTTAAGGTGTAGAAGAAGGAAGAATGAGAATAGACAATAGGAAATGTGCTAGTGGGAAAGCTTTAGTTAACCAGCATATCATTTCAAACAAGAGTTTGGATAAATTTTGGAGTTGCACGGCTTGCACCTTCTCTGTGGATGGTTTGGGTAAAAAGTTGTTTAGGCGGCATTTGGCTAGTGTAATCTGTTATTCTATTTTCATTGATTGGGTTGCTGAGCCTGGATATTCTATGCTTTAAATTTTGTATGATTCATTGAAGGCTTGAATGAATGTTTTGTTGTGTTTTATAGAAAATGGAGGCATGTGATTCGCTAAAGTTCCTTTCTGTTAAGTGGGATTATCTGGAAGGCAGAGCGTTTCAATTTTCATTTACGTGAGAATTGGAGCATGATGTCTTTTGCATTCTTGCCACTTGGATGCAATTTATAATTAAGATCCTTTAATTATATGTTGGTTTGTTTTGGTTTACCTAAGGCTTACTGCTTTTTGTCCCTGTGCAGATTTGACAAGATTATTAACAAGGAAATTCCAGCAAATGTGGTTTATGAGGATGAGAAGGTTTGATTGCTACTGACTTTTATCATCCATACGTGTTTCTCTTAGCTACCTGTGCAATATTATCATAGGTTAGAATCAATGAAATTATGGGACAATTTGCTTGTTGGTTGTCTAGTCAGTCACAATGTGTTACACATCCTGTCAAAAGTTATCTCAGGTCCTTCAGCTAATTGTTTGTTTTAATTGTTAAAGGTGCAGATATACCCATCTGATTTGTATTCCTTTATTAATTCACTTTTTGAAATGCTTTTGTCCCTGTGTTCGTCCTCTACTACCATTTAATTAGGTTTTACTCATCAAATCTTGAAAATTCTTTCGGCCTTCATTTGGACATGGGAAAACATAGGGTGAAATGCTGAATAATATTATTTATTCATTGAGCTAGAAATGGCCTAGTTATTTGTTTTTGTTTTTAGGAGGGATTTTGTCTCATAATAGAAATTTGGTTTCTGAATCATGATTATAATTAGGCCTTGTTTGTCAAATTCATTGGAATTTTGATTTCTTAGGAAATGAATTATGCATGCTTGTTTGGTTGACAATAATGTAGGAATTGGGACTTCCCACAAAATGGAGGAATTAACTTACCTAGTCCCCCTAGGTAAGTGGAACTTCCCAAGGGAAGTGGAAATTCCTACATCCAACCAAACAAATTTTGGAAATTCCTAGGAATTACAATTTCATAGGAATTGAGATTTCATGGGAATTTCTACTTCCTACATCCAACCAAACAAGGCCTTATATTAAAGAAACTTCTGGCTCCTATTTCTTTATGTGTACTTTCATTGTAGTTCAATTCAGTTACATGCCCTTCTTTTGAGTTTTTCAGAAGGCATGTACATGTGTGATGAGCTTTGTCATTTCTGGTGATATTTCTGATTCTGTGACCTTGACACTTGTTTGTCTTCTACTATAAATTTTTAGGAGTTCATTTTTTGGGGTTAGTAATGAGTGTTAGGACTACTCTACTTTTTTTTTTTTTTTCTTTTTTTTTTTTTTGGGGGGGGGGGGGGGTTGTATTGAGGCTCTGAAGGTCTATGTTGTTTAATCTGACTTTGAATGGATTGAACCAGGTTCTTGCTTTTCGGGATATCAATCCACAAGCTCCTGTACACATTTTGATCATTCCCAAAGTTAAGGATGGTTTAATCAGACTCGCTAAGGTACTTATGGTAGCATAGTTTTGCATTTCTGCAATGTTGTGTTCATATCCTTGCTTTTCTGGGTGTTTACATGAATGCTTCATTTCAATTAACTGAAAGTTCTTTTGGCTGGTTAATTTCTGTTTTTAGTGTGTCCCAACAGCTTTGACATTTTATTTTGCTTGTGATGTGCTTGGGAATTAAGGGCTTGGGAGTTGGGACTTGATGCTTCCTTTTGATTATAGGATTTGATATTGGGGTTCCATGTGTTTATGGCTAATTATATGCATTTATTTTTTCATAGTTATCCCTGGATCATATTGGCATTAGTTATATAGTCAGGCCAATTTTGTTGCAAAACTCTGAATAGAAGTTAAATTGTATTGTGCACAAAAGTTGAATCAAGTGTTATAAGCTCATCCTCAAGATTTTGAACTAGGAATAAAGTGTAAGTGTTCTATAGGACTACTAATATATCAGAGTAATCGCATAGATCTGAATACTGCGCTTTTAAAAAGGATCATTTAAGATGCATGAGTTTTTTTTCTTTTCATTTCTTCAGCAATTAGTTAGAGATTTATTAATAATGCAGAACTGAAAATGCTTAATACAGACCTCCTGAACAACAGAACCAAAAGCTTGCAGGCAGACAAAACCTGCTAAGCAACCACCGTACATCACTATCACTTCTCTAAGCTCATTTGAGCATCTACAAGAAACTTTCAACAAAATTTCATTCACAATAACATCAAAAGTTATAGCATTTACCCTGAAATTTGTGGTATTATTATGAAGACATAACTGCTATATTGACTCAGTATATCATGTAATATACAGCTTTGATTGCGAGCTTTTCTTCCAGTTCAATATTACTGCTGTCTTCAACTCAGCATCAAAACCAGTAAAATAATCCCAAGAGCCAACACTTTTAAAGGACAGGTACTTGATTCTTTCAGGATGATTGTTGTGATACACAAAAACCATTTCAATTGATACCTCATTTATCCGTCTGACAGCTCTGTATAACTTGTCTTGATTAGCTAGCCAAGCTACAAAGATACTTCGTGGCCTAGACTTATTTTTTCCATAGCCATCTTTTTCAAATACTCCCTACTATTGCTGATACATTTTACCAATAGAGAAAGTGCTGTTATTCATAGCATTCATCCAGCCTGCAATTTGCTGAATGTAGACTCCAATTAATATTCTTTCTCAAAGACCAAGAACAGTTAATGGAATTAGGACAAACATCAATATCCTTCTAATGAGCTACCTCAACTTGTCCTTCTAATGAGCTAAGGCTGAAAGAAGTTTGTTGATTGCTTCTTTAACCATACTAGTTTAGTTCCCGTACGATGCACGGTTTTAAACAAAACAAATTGTAAGATTTGTTTATAATATGGAGAAATAAAGTTTTCTACTCTGTAATTTTTTTTTATACATGGTAAGTAATTTATACTGTAAGCATATTAATATACCTTAAAATAAAAAAGGATTTGGTAGGGACAAAGGATAAAGTCATAAAGAATATGAAAGGTTTATTATATAAAAAAAAGTTAAAAGTAAAAAAAAAAAAAAACACTAATGACATCATCATAGCAAATTGGCAGGAAAAAAATTTATGTTATAGTGACATGTGTACAATTTGAAGAAGGGATGATGTCAGCAACGTTTTGTTTTAGTATTAGTTAATAGATTATTGTTATTTTAGATTCCAAGGGATTTATAACCTCTCTTTTCTTGTAAGTTTTTTTGTAATAGTTTTATCCCTAATTCAAAGAAAAAGTCTACTTTAAGATTCCACCTCTTTAATCACCTTCCATTTTCCTTCCAAATCTCTCCAAAAATGGAGGGATTTAGTTTATTAAAAGGGAAGGAAAATGAATCGTTCCAATTCCTTCGCCTTCACTCCTTGCATTAGATATCCAAACAAAGGATGATGCATTCCTCCTTTTTTCTTCTCTTTCCTTCCCTCCATTTCTCTCTATCCAAACATTGTGTAAATTTGCTCACTTTATCTGCAGACATCAAATGTGTATTTCCCAGCCTTCCACACTTTGGTTGGAAATTGCAGTTTCAATTTGAATCTAGTTGTTTCATACATCTTGAGTATTTTCTACAGTAACTCCATACTCATGGAAAACAGAAAAATTGACATGGGATCGCCTTGTCTCAATCCCTTCTTTGCTTGAAGAGGTTTGCTAGGATGGCCATTAAATTAAAGAAAATGAGTGTCACAGAATAGCTAATGATGAGATGTATGTGTGGGAAAACTCAAGGGATATTATTTGGAATTAAGCTAATTGGATGAGTTAATTGGATGAGTTTATGAGTTAAAGATATTGAGGAGGGAGAGTCGATATTCGATAACGTTGGTTTGAGCATGTGAGTAGTCGGCTAGATGAAGCACTGGTAAGGAAAGAAGAGAATTGGGATTATGGGGATTTACAAAGAAGCTGTGGAGGCCAAAGATGACTTGGATGAGGAAGGTTAAGGATGATAAAAAGAGATTGGGTTTTTAGGAGCAACAAGTCAACAACACCTTATAGAAGTGAATGGAGGAAGATGGTCTATGTTGACAACCACCAGAGATTATATATTGGCTTCATGCTTGCCAGTCCCATCCTGTGTGGATCAAGGCTTTGACATTGTTATCTTAAGAAGGGGTCAAGCCTGCCTTTTCCTATTTATTTGATAAGAAGGAAAGAGTAGGCAAAAATGAAACTAAGAATACTTTATTCATGAGTTACTGCTGAGTGTAAATAGTAGTTAGAAACAGTTTTAAAAATTTCGGTGCTGCAGTTTGGTTTAGTTAGTGGATTGGCCGAGAAGTAGAATGATTGAGCCCCCCTTTTCTCCTATATCAGTTTCTTTGCTTGGAGACGCAATTGCTTCCCAAAATTAAGGGGTTGTTGGACTTGTCAATCGATTCATAATGCTTCAAATTTAAACCCTTGCTCTTTTGTCAAAGATCTCACCCTTGTTGGTAGAGTTGAGAAGTCCATAGCTAGACTAGAGTCAGAACCATTTTGCCTTTTAGGTACTTGCTGATTTAAGAACCAGCCATATACCTTGATCGTTAATGTAATAGTGCTGAACTTGGATCAATGTGGTAATGGCTTTCTTCCCAAACTGCAGGCAGAAGAGAGGCACTTTGATATTCTTGGCCGCCTACTTTACACTGCAAAGGTTATTGCTAAACAGGAAGGCCTTGAAGAGGGCTTCAGGATTGTCATTAATGATGGACCAAAAGGATGTAAGCAATTTGGATCTAAACTGAATAGCTATTTTTGCAATTTATTTTCTTTGCCCTAACTTTTTAAACTGATGTCCTTCGTTAGGTCAATCTGTTTATCACATTCATGTGCACCTTCTCGGGGGACGCCAAATGGAGTGGCCTGCTGGCTGAGTGAAATTATGTTGGTTATTAGGGCCTTTGCTTGTATTTTTCTTGATAAAAATTGGTGAAATGTTGTATTTTCCCAGTTACGGCAGTACAAAGTTTATTGTAAACTAGAACCTAGAATAACAGCATTATTGTTAATTGTACTTGACTATATACAATACTGTTAAATGTACTTGACAATGAAATAGAAAGTTATGGCATATTGGCATATGAGTTGGTGTCCCTGGTAACGAAAGAGATTGAATTAGCTGGGGCTGACCTATTGAATCCGTCTGTTGATCAGAACATTTCCAGGTCGGATTGTTTAGTATTTTTCTGAATAGAATTAGCATATACACTACTAGTGTGACAACTAAATTCCGGTGGAGCGTGTAGTTTGCTACATGCTATTCAGGTTAACTATAGCAGAGTAAAAGCGTAGGTTGTGCAATAGTGGCCAGTGGGGTTTTGTTTTAAAGGTTAGTGTCGTTTTAACTGATTGCTAGCCGCAAGCTTGTTTTGTGTGGGTTCATACATCATTAATTTCTGGGTTTGCCTTGTTCTAACTTTTAGACATCATCCACCTGTTTTCGGGGTGGACAGACCCCCTTTGCTTAAGTTGGTGAGCTTTTCGGATAATGGATGTGCTCTTCTAAGTCTTCACGACTTCAGGTTTTTTTAGTTCATATTTCGCGACTTCAGGAAAATTGAGAACCCTTGTACAATTTTTTTTAAGGTACAACTCCGAATGAAATTTATGTGTAATGAGAAGAGGGTCATTTGAGTGATAAAGAGAGATTATGGCAATAGCATGAATAGTTACTGTCACTAGTGCTTACTATAGTTGCATCCACCTCAATGGATAAAGGAAAAAAGTTGCCAAAATGTGAAAATCTTAAAGGTTGATGTAACATGTAAGCTGGAATTCCATCTTTAACAAAGTATACAGATTCTTCTATACTAATCTATACAAAAAATAACAAAATTATCTTGCTACATAGATGTGAATTTGACCGCTTATATGTTGTCTATATTGTAACGCTCCCTAGTATTGATCGATAGTCTATTATGAGAAGTCCGGGTGATAAATGGTTTTACGTCTTAATAGGACTTGTTATTAAGATCGTCCATGGTCTACGGATCAATCTTTACTAGAAAGCTAATATTCATAGAATACTTGGTGAGGCTATATAAATATAATCCCTGCCTTTTCAGGGATAATATTGTTACTAATCTAGCATAGCTTTACTTTTTTTTTTTTTAAGAAAAAATAAGATACATGGAGTAGATTAGAAACATCTTCTCGTAAGACCATGTCTTAATCTATCTAAAAGTAAAAAAAATAAAAAAAATTGTTGTCCATAAAAAGGTCTATTATCTTGGTGCGTCGGAGTGAAATAGAGGTGCATCAATAGATTCAATTCTATCATTACTTAACCACGGGAATACAACATCGACACATCTTATCCTAATAAAAGAAACTATGTACTAACACTAATTAAAAATTCAAGTAATTATAGCATGAATGATAGCTCCCAGAATTAAGGGTACAAAATGTATTAATTTTAGTAAAAAAGAAGTAATTGAGTAGAATTTTCCAGGGGAAAATAAACAGTTTTGAAGACTTTTTTATGGGTTAATGTCCTACATGTTTCATCATTTTCCTTCAGCTTTTGACACTTTTGGACGCTCTCTCCAAAGATAGAAAAAAAAAAGGGAAGAAAAGCAAAGGGCATAAAAACAACTATCCATGATTATAGGTTCTTGTTAACTTGTATCATTGTATGTACCTAAAGGCCATCTTCCATCTTGTAACGGTTGTTTCCTGTGAGTAGTAAAGCTACGTGGAGTTGGCGAAAGTTGATTACATTTCTTCAGAGTTATTATCAAACGAGTTGTATTATCTGAATTGAATCGTCATAATTTTTTATCAAACGAGTATGTTTTAGTTGAATTTTGTAACGGTGTGTCACTAGCAACTTGACAATTAATTCTAAATTGAGGAAGTATTCATTTTGATTAACAAAATGAGGAAATTACTAAATTTTCTTAGGGGGCAATATTTAAAGCGAGTTAAGTAAGTTTTTTCATTGCAATAACTACCAACATTGCAAAAAAAAAAAAAAAAAAAAAAAAAATCCGTATATTATAGTACAAATACTTAATGAGATTAATGTATGAAATTCAAAAGTTGAAAAAAAATAAATTGAAATACCTAATTTAAGGGGTAACAGTCTAACAGACGCTCTCAACTCTCAAACAAAAACAATAAAAAATTTGAAAAACAACACAAGCCGCCTCTTGAAATCTCTCAACAAATAATCCCCAATTTTACTTAATTGAGTACAATTAAGTACTAATCTTTTCTCTTTAATCTTTCACTAATTACCCTGTTTTTTGGTTCAAAAACCAATGTTAAACCCACTTTCAAATTCACAAAAAATAGTCTGATGACATACTTTTTCATCGAAATTCATCTGCTTCAATCCCAAGAGATATTGTCAACAGTCAGGCTGTCATCATCATCAATCATCATCTTACTTTGTTCTTAATTTGCTGCAATTTTCAGGTATTTTTATTTCTAGTAATTTGCAACCACTTTATACTAGAATTTCTGGGAGTAATCTTTAGTTCTTTATTTTTTTGGGTAAAAGTTTGGAGAATGTGGGGTTTTCTTGCATTAAATTCAGTTGAAATTTCTTACTACGTTTCCAAAATTTTGGGTTTTTCTTACGCTTTTCTGAGATGGGTATTTGTCATTTTCATAGAATTTTTGGATTTTGATTGAAGGAATCTCAGTTTTGGTTTAAAGTAGGGTTTTTTCTGCCACCAGAACTGTTACTTGGTCATTTATCTGGATTTTTTTGGTGAAATCCTATGGTGTTTGGTGAAGGGTTGATCATAAATTTGTGGGTAAGTAATACTATAATGCTTCTTTGAATTATCTTGCTACATGAAATTTTTTCATACTATTATGAAGCAAAAATTTGGTTTTGTGAATTGTAACACTGTTCGACTTATTTTGTCTGAACTTATCTCATTTGAACTTATTTTATCCGAACGTATTGTATTGCAATTTGCAAGTTTGACTTATGGGGTTACTGCAGGAATTTAGTCTGTGGTGTAATGAATTCCTGTTCTGAGTCTAATAGTTAATTTTTAAGTGGAGGCTTGATAAATCTTGCAGTTTGCTAGTAATAATGTAGTTTATGAGATGAAATACTTCTAGTACTAAAATTGCTTAAAAAAAAAAGGAACAATTGTCATTTTCTCCTGTATTTTGACTACAACTTTATTGGTTAACATGCAGCTGTACAAGGACATGGGTTTGTCTGTATTAGTGCCTGTTGGTGTGTTCTCATATATTAAATGTGTATGTTGGGTTGAAATGATGAGTCTGAGTAATACATTTGTGTTGGTGGTGAATGTATAATTTGTCAATATTTTTAGTTTGTTAGGGTGTGTGATAGCATGGAGGAAAGTGGATATTAAGACTTTGTTAGTGATTCATATTATGTTAGGTGTTTGTATTTCCTTGATTAGTTTCTTGTTTTTGGAGGTCGATGTTTAATTTCTCTCGTTGTCTTCATAACATCCAATGGTTTATTCATCAATCAGGTAGGCGTGTAGTGAATAGATTATGCTACTGATTTAGAACTTATGATTCTTTGCAGATTGAAATTGTTGTATTTTAAACAGTAGGCTTCTGTATTAGCTTTCTGTTAACGCTTAATATGCTATTGTCACAAACATATAGTTATTATTGTTTGGTAGTATATGATAATCTATTGGCTCCTAGCTTAGTTTTTGCGCTCAAGAATCAACCAAACCCTGACAATGTTTGCGCTGTAGTGTGGATTGTGTATAAGCTTATTCCACATATTGTTGTACTCCTCTTACACTTCAGTGGAGAAATTATATCCTTAATACCGTGTTTCTATCTTCACACACACCTTCATCGATTTTTGTAGGTAAATCCATCTTACAAGCTTAATTAGCCCAGCCGGAAAGAAAGCCTAAACTTTGAATCATTGAATTTTTTGTCATATGGTGCTTCTTTAAAATCAAGGATGAAAAAATATTTCTTTCCAAAATCTATCTCATCACATGGAGGTGAACAGCTTCCGAAGTCTCCAGCTACAAGAGATAAGAAACAGTCTCCACAAAAGCGATGGAAGACAGAGGGTTTGGGAAGTGTGGAGAATAAGTTTCAAAAGCCTGAGCACAACATTCCTGTTTGTGAGGGAAAAGTTACTGAGAAAAAGACCTTATCACGGACTAGGAGCCTAGTGCTGAGTAGGAGTCGGAGTTTTCAGATGTCAACAACAGCAGACAACGGCGGCAGTTTTTGTGAACAAGATCTTACGGGATTAAGAGATTGGAAAAATATTCCATTGAGCCACAGGAGATGTGATTGTTCTGATTGGTAAATTCCTTTGTCTACTGAAATTTATTGAATAGGATTCCAGAATTTTGCTAAGATTTCTTAGTAGTTTATGCATCAAGTAAGCAATTCTCCCCTTGCTTATCAATGGAATTCCAAGATGCTTTTTGTATAGTGAATTTTTTTTATTCTACAATATGAGATAGCTAATGACAATCTGTAGCTTTGATCTAGGGCTGAGCAAACAAACTAACCCTGCTCTTTTGGTAACTATTATCTTGGAAATGAAAAATAAGTTTCTTTATACTATCATTCAATAAGCATCTCGTTCTATTTCATAAAACTTAGTCAAATGATTATGCACATTTTTCCAAAATGCTCATTTGTTAACTAAGCAATTACTTATGATGTAGTGCATGCCGATTTTTTCATTGGACCCATAAATAGGCTATGAAACTGAGTCAGATCAACACTGTCAGAACTCTTTATAACTTTTTCCTCTGATTTTTCTCTTAATCTAACTTTGCAGTGATCATCAATTCAAAAATGACAATTCAAGGTCTGAAAAATTTAATGTAGCTACTGTTCAAATACCTCGTACAGAAGTCCTACGTGACCGCTCTTGCTCCTGCCCATCCAATTCAAGCTCACCTCGGAGCTCCTTAGGTTCAACTTCAATGCCAGGCAAAGTGTTGGACCTCTATATAGATGGTGAGCATCATCAAGAAATGAAGCATGGAATCAGTGATCATTATCCTAAAAGCTCTGAAGGAAGTAACTTGTTTTTCCTTTCTAATGGTGCACCTAGAAATTACCCTTTGAGGTCTGAAAATCAACATGAGTCTCCGAGGAAGCTTGCTAAGGACGTGGTTGAAAGGCTTCTGAGGATAGAACAAATATGTGATCCAAATAAACATGAAGAACAGGACGATATTCTTGACAAGCATTTGGATGGACAAAATTCTAAATTGTTCCCTGAAGAAAAAGAGGTTCTCACTGATTTAGCATTGCAGAGAAAGCTAGAAGAAGTCAAGGAGAGGGTGCAGGTTGCAGAAAGAACTTTGTTTCGAAATTGCAGTGTTGAATCTCTACGGGACTTGGAGCTCAAAATCTGTGACCAATTGCACTGCCGAATTGCTGAAAGGAATGCTTATAAAAAAGCAGTGTCATTGTTGAAGGATGAGACACACTCAGCGATAGTAAAGTTAGAGAGAGAGAAAGATGAAGTGAGTTCTCGATTGCAGAAGGAGCTGAATAGAAGGTCTGATGATTGGGAAATTAAGCTGAGAGAATATCAGTCAGAAGAGCATCGATTAAGAGATCGAGTAAGGGAGCTAGCAGAGCAGAACGTTTCTCTTCAAAGAAAAATCTCTGGCTTCTGCAACAAGGAAAAAGAGTACACTGATAGACTATCAGGCATGGAGGCTCATCTCAAGAATCTTATAGCTGAAGTGGACATTGCAAGATCAGAAAATGACAGTCTGCTGGATAAACTATCTGCGATTCAGGATAAGCTAAAAGTTTCTGAAGAAGTTCAGTACTCTTTGGACAGAAAATACAAAGAAAAGGAAGAGGAATATATGGAGTTGACCAAAATAGTTTCAAGGCTTCAAGGTACTTGTAATGAACAAGAAAGAACAATTGATGGATTAAGGCAATGCTTAAATTCAGATAATCTTACAAATAAATGGCAAATGGAACAACTGCGGTTGACAGGAGTTGAACAAGATCTGAGGAGACAGCTGGAGACTTGTACTGCCGAAACAAGCTCTCTTCGGAGTGAAAACATATATTTATTTGAACGTTTAAAAAGTACAGGAAAAGTAGGTGGATCTTCAGCCCTGAAACTGGAGCATGAGCTTGAATCTTATGTTCAGTGCTTGCAAAACACAGGCTTATCACTTCTGAATGAGAGTGTTCAAATGTGTGAAAATCTTCATGGGGCTCTCGATAGGAAAACAACTTCTGAAGGTTCTATTGAATCACATTCTCTTGTTCAATATGGTATGAAGGTTCAAGAATTCAGAAAGGGTTTAGAGCAGCTAACAAGAAGCCTACGAAAAACTGCCTCTGTTCTTAAGGATAAAGCTGACATAGCTAGTTCTGAACCTGAGTTACCTGATACATCTAACAGAGAGGTTTTTGAGGTAAGCGAATATGGTCAAACTTTACGAGCTTTAATTCAGTTAAAAAGTACGGTCAATGTTAAAGCTCAAACATTGCTAAAAAAATTTCCATGAAAATATTATTAAGAATGGAAGGATTACTCGATTTTCATTTCTTGTTCTGATGTACTATCACTTTGTAGGATGATTTGAAATCTGAGCTCAAGGCAGAACGATTACTGACTAGCATTCTTAAGGAAAATCTGTATTTTAAAGAGAAGGAAGTAGAACAAATGCAGGTTGAACTAGCCAGAGCACTGAGGAGTCATGATGTTCTGAAGAGAGAGATCCAAGATGCAGCTGATACTGTTTCTTGTGTAAATCATAAAATGAAGAATCTTGAGCTTCAGGTAGCATGGCATCTTTACTGATATCTACTTTGTTTGATCCACTTTTACTGATGATAATCTTTTGAATAAAAAATAGCACACCTGTGTCAAAACCAAAAGACCAATTTGGATTTGGGTTGGTCAGTCTAATTTTCGGGTTTTATCTTCACTTAACCTTTGCCAGGTTTGGGCCGGGCAATTGGGATATTTGAAGATATATGCACTTGTAAAAGGTCTCTGGACAGGAAAACAACAATTATTTTTGGATTTGAATTGCATCTTATGAATAATTTTCATGGTCTTAAGATTCTAAGTCAGTTTTGGTTGGGGTTGGGTTGGTTTGGGTGAATTTGACATATAGTACATGTTATGAACACAAATGTATAACCTCTCACACACTCTTTTTGCTTCCTTGAACAGATGATACAAAAGGATGGAACCATAAATCAGCTTCAAGGTGACATACGGTCATATGATGAGGAGGTGACGAGTACTAGAGGTGTTCTATCAAAAGTAACTCAGGAGAGAGATTTGATGTGGCAGGAGGTGAAGGGTTACAATGAGAAAAACATGTTGCTTAACCATGAAATCGAGTCACTTAAGAAGAAGATTGAGGCCCTAGAAGAAGATACACTCCTTAAGGATGGTCAGATCACAATCTTGAAAGATAGCCTTAACAATGCTAAATCTTTCAACCTTCTTTTTGAAACTGAACATGTGAATGAGTTCTAGCTTTGATTGATTTGAGTACATAGGTGTTGATTCATAGTCCAGGCGCAAGCCTTGTTGATTGTTAGTCTAATTGGAAGGCGTTTGGGTCTTACTACCTCCTGTTTAGTACAATCCTTGTGCACTTCGTAATTTGTGACTCGTAGTGATTCAAATCGTAGAATAAGAAGTGATCAAATATGTATGTTCGAGAATCGGATGTGGGTACTTCGTAGGGTGATATGATTGACCTTCTGTAGTATGGCTGTGTGATTACTGCTTACTACAAAAGATTAATATCTAAATAGCTGTGTCAACTCTTTTTTGTACATTCTTTAAAGATTTTTTATATAAATCAAAAGCGGAAGGATAGTAGTTAATATCGATGGAGAAATGTGTTATTGTGTTCATGCTCTAATGGCTTGTTCAATGTTATTATCAACACCTTTTGTGAATCATAATTTTTGTATTTTTTTTTTTTGCAATTTTCTAGAGATTTCTATATTTCAATTTCATTTGATTACTTTCAAAAATCGAGCTAAAAATTTCTATATTTCAATTTTCTTTGATTACTTTCAAAAATCGAGCCTGCTCGAAAATTATCTAGTCGTATTAAGCGAGGGTATAAAAACAAGGAATGCCAAATTAATAGCAGTAGTACTGTAATAATATATATGTAGTAATAAAGAAGATTCACTTACTACACAATCATCTAAGCTTAAAAATTATTTTCTACAAATAAAAGTAGAATGTACATAAAAAAATAAAAAAAAAAATTAATACAAAATGTCTTAAATGAGGAATTTAAGTTAATATGAAGGTAGGTCGGAAATGAGGCGGGTCTCCTACTCGACTCGCCCCACTGACATCCCTACTCTCTGCCATTTGATATGCAATTAGATATGCAATTAAATATGCCTGTGAAGCTGTCTTGTTATCTTGCAACCAAATTGAACAGAATTGAACATGTAGCTGAGGCCCTTGGTAAACTCTGCAAAGCAGTTTCGAGCGCCATATTATCTGCTGTTGGATAATATCCCTTCCTTATGATCAACTCCTCCAACACAAAAGCATGTCTCAACAAAAACTGGATCACATTAATTTCCCGCTCCTGCCCAAAGTAGTGATCAATCACAATTCTTTTAAGATGATATTGACAACATGAAGGAATAACTGTCAAGAGTTTCTCTGAAAAACTCTTGTTCTTCCTCGAGTGTCCCCTCGTCGTCAGAGTCGTCAAGACGATGACATACTTTACCATTAAAGAATGCAATCAATCCCTGCAAAGTTGGTCAAAATCAACATCGTTACGTCATTATTTGAATCAAATTTATTCTATGTTTATGTAAAATACTTTTATGAGGGATCTTGTGCAAGATTCCACAAATAAGACAATAAAAAAAGAAACGGAGAGAGTATATAAACAAAGAAATGTGGGAGCAAAACTAGAAATTAAAACAAACCTCTAAGCAAATGCCGCGCAAAGATAATTGCTGAACGTTATTCAAGACTTTGATAAGGCTAAGCAATACTTGAAGATCAAGATCTTCGACTTCATCTAATGGCGGCGGAACATAATCCATTATCTTAAGGTTTCACACATGAAGATAGCAGGCGGGAGCTCACCCGGTTCCCTCACACGAATTCGGAGATCAAGCTCCTTAAGGACGGTCAGATCACAATCTTGAAAGATTGCCTTAACAATGCTAAATCTTTCAATCTTCTTTTTGAAACTGAACATGTGATTGAGTTCTAAATTTGATTGATTGATTGGGTACATAGGGACATTTATAGTAATTTAAATAAAATTTTGAGAAAATTATGACTCGTAACAATTTTATGCCATAATAATAAGAACTACCTCAAAAATCACTCTAAAAATTCTTTAAAAAAAAAAAGAAAAAGAAAACCCACTATAAAATCGATTATAACTACATAGCAAAACAAAAACCAATTGTGGACTAATAATCATGCATATACATGAAGAAAAAAAATTACACAAAATTAAGGCCAAACAAGCTCAGAATCAATCCTTAGACGAGGAAGATCATCTAATCATCATCAAGATTATCAACATCTTTCAATTGATTCTGCCTAATCTCAACTTAATCTTGCATTAAAGTGTTATTTTATAAACATATTTAAATAATTTAAAATGAATTATTTATGATATTTTAACGTTTTAAAAGGTGTATTTAAATAAAAATCCACCAAAATAATTATTGAAATGATTTTGGAAATATTTTATTTTTATATTTAGAAACTTTGGAGCATATTTAATTTAGGAAAAATTCATGGCAATAATCCGACCTTTAGCACATTCTTTTTTAATAATTTGACCTTTCGATTATTATTAATAATCCGACCTTTGGGGGTCTTTAATTTTTATTGGTCCCATTTGACCAGAAACCGGTAGAAGAGGTAATTTTTTTTTTTAAGTTTAATTGACACGTGTCACAATTTGATTTGTCTAAAATTTATAAAAAAAAAAAAAAAAAACCCACAGCCCTGCCACCACCCCTGCCACCATTCACGCAGCACCCCACAGCCCTGCCACCACCTTCCCCACCACCATTCACGCAGCACCCCCCAGCCCTCTCCTCCTCCTCCTCACGCAGCACCCCCCCAGCCCAGAAATCAGCCGGCATCTAGCTCACCCACCGCCGGCTGAGCCACCCCCAATTACTCCGACCTCCCCTTAACCGTCGCCCCACCCATCCAAACGAACCCTAACCCGTGAAAACCGCAACCAACCTCCACCTTCCCTCACCGCAACCCCTTCCCGACCACCGCAGCCCCGAAACCACCCTTACCATGTTTTCCGGCCCCCATAAACCCTATTCCCCCACCTAACACCACCAAATGGGCTGCTGTGGTGGTATTAAGGGAGCAGGCTGTGCGTGAGGGAGATGCAGGGGCGGGGTTGTTCGGTGCTGGTAGGGCAAGAGCAAGGGGAGAGGGAAGGGGAGGTAGGCAGGCGCGTCTGCCAGAGCAAGTACTGGCGGCAGGGGGCTGGCCTGGCTGGTGGCTGGGCTGGCTCCCTGGTGGCTGGCTATTTAATTTTATTTTTTTTGACCAATCATAGGCCGACACGTGTCATGTAACCTGTTATAACAGGTTACATGACCGGTTGGGACCAATAAAAATTAAAGACCCCCAAAGGTCGGATTATTAAATAATAATCGAAAGGTCAGATTATTAAAAAAGAATGTGCTAAAGGTCGGATTATTGCCATGAATTTTTCCTTTAATTTATAAGGAATTTTAAAGTCATTTAAAAATAGAGTGAACACCTACTTTGAGTTGGAGTACCATTCATTAAGGGTAAATATGGAAAATCGAGCAGGAATAGGGTTTTACACCCCCAAAAGGAAAAATCAGATTTTGCCTAAGGTGATAATACCCAAAAGGTAAACTCTCTCTCCTCCTATTTCTTTTTCTTTATTTTTCCCCTTCCCCTTTTTACGCCACACACACCACCAACACACAGTGGCCGGTTGCCACTACCACAATCGGCCGCCGCCAGCACACGCCGGCAGCAGCAGCCGCAGGGAGGCGGCAGCAGCTCGTCCTCCTCTCCCTTCGTGTGTGCGTATGCGGTTTGCTAAAAAAAATTAATTCCTGTTTTGATTTTAATTAAGCTTTGATGAAATATGATTTTGGGTATTATGTAATGGAATTATGATGTTTTTGATGGTGTTTGATATATATATAATTTTCAGATTTGATTTTATATGAAAAAAACCCTTAATTAAACCCTAGGTTTCTAAACTGATGATTATTGAAGGGAATTAATTATGGTTGATTTGTATTATTGAAATTGATGTTTTAAAAGCAAATTACAGTAAGTTTTAAAGGTTTAATATTGCTAGAATTTTTATATAGAGGCTAAATTAAGGTTACCCATTAATTGAAAATAAAATTAAGTGAATCTAAATAAGTTTCAGCATGTTTTGAGAGGTTTAAAGGTGTTTTAAAGTGTGTTTTTATTGCTGGAAACGTCCAAATGAGTGATTTCGTGTAGTGATGGTGAATTTAATATCGTATTCTAGGTACGTCCGCATACTCAGTATTTACTAAAGCATGCTAGGATTTATTTATTTAATTTCAAGTTAATATCATGCTAAGAATTGGTTGGAGTTGTTGGATTGAATTGGTTTTATGGAATTGGATTGGTTTTGATGATTGGTGTATAAGGCATGATTTATTTGAAATGGATTATTATTGGAATTTATGATGTTTGGAATTATTTATATGGACCACACTTTTATTATTAGCATGTTTGAAGGCTTGTTTAATTAAACTAAATGTTTAATTTGGTTTGGAATATAAAAAGGGAATTTTATTATGGTTCATATAGTTTTTATTGATGCTATAAGAATGGGAATTGAGCTACTAAGCGTATTAGTACACAGGATTAAAATATGGGATTTGCTAAACGTCGCCCGCAAATCACCACATAAAGCCCACAAATATTTTTACTTTGACTCTTTTGCCCTTTTTCTAATTTTTACCGAAACCGTAATTCACTCTCACGAAGAATGTGGAGCTGGAGTGGATCGCCGAGGGACACCGAAGAGCCGTCATCGTCGCCGGAAAGCGAGATAATCCGGGGGAAAAATTACGAAAAGTAGGGGTGGCGTCTGGTCAGGACGCCGCCACCATGGTTGTGGCGTCCTGGCTAGACGCCGCCACCATGGCTGTGGCGTCCTGGCCAGACGCCGCCACCATGGCTGTGGCGTCCTGGCCAGACGCCGCCACCATGGCTGTGGCGTCCTGGCCAGACGCCACCCCTACTTTTTGTAATTTTTTTTTTTGTAATTTGTTATTTTTTTATTTATTTATTTTTCTTTTTTTTTTGTAATTTTATTTAAACTTTTTGTAATTTTTTTTAAATTTTATTTAAAGTTTTTGTTTTTTTTAATTAAACATTAACACAAAAAATTCTGATTTAAAAAAAAATATATACATTAGAAATAAAAACATTAACACATAAAACAAAAATATTAAACATTAACAAAAGAATTCTGATTTTCCAAAAAAAAAATATTAGACAAAAAAAAAAAAAAAAAAAAAAAAGTGGTAGGGCGCCTGGCCAGGACGCCCAGCCCCTGGTGGTGGCGTCTGCTCCGGCCGCCGGGACCAGGGGGCTGGCGTCTGACCTGGACGCCCAGCCACGGCGGTGGCGCCTCTGGAAAACGCCACAACCGTGGCTAGGCGTCCAGGTCAGACGCCAGCCCCCTGGTTCCGGCGGCCGGAGCAGACGCCACCACCAGGGGCTGGGCATCCTGGCCAGGCGCCCCACCTCTTCTGGTTTTTTTTTTTTTAATTTTTTTTTTTTAAAAAAACCCTTCCACCGTGAGCCGTCCTTCCCTCCGCCGCTGTGG